TTTTTATTTTTTCAATATTAGGAGATTAGGCTAAGGGGTCTAGTGGTCAGAGTTCCTGGCTACAGATCCAGAGGTCCGGGTTCGATTCCCGGCGCTACCAGATTTTCTGAGAAGTAGTGGGTCTGGAACGGGGTCCACTCGGAGCTATTTCATGGAAATAGCGGCTCCGGTCTAGAAACCCGAGATTAACGGCCGTGGGGATTCGGTTGCGCTGACCACGTGACACCCTCTATCCGCTAAAGTTGCCACTAACCTCGCCGACAAGCGGCAGTAGCTCGGTCGGTCGGTATAGTTCGCTTGCGGACTAAAACCAAGGAGTTTCGTTTCTTTAGGCCAAAAAAACTAAAAAAATGAATAAGTAATTAAAAGAAATACATGTCGTGGAAGAAATGGATGCGAACATAAGTTGAAGGCATAGACTTTACAATCCTAAAAATCGAACATGTTCAAGGAAAACAAAGATAACGCTGCTAATTTTAGCCTCGTATCTTGTTCATTTAAGTATTAATCCTTATCTATGTTTGTTTCTAAACCGACTGGTCATTAGGAGAATATATGCTCTTATTCCTGATGGTGCATCAGTTATAACTTATTTAACACGGATCTTACTGATAACACGTGTCATTTGCGTCCAGGTGGTTCCCCGTTAGATTCACGCTAGCAGCACTGACACCTTGACCAACCGAAATGCTCCGTCTACATGACTCAGTCTTCGCTGTTCGTACTTGAAGACTCGCTCTCTTCGTTTTCCCTCAATTAGTCTGCATGCACTAATAAACACGGCATGGAAAGTGCAGGCAGCTATCCTCGGCGGTCAGTCGAGCGATATGGTTTTTGCAACACTTGGCTCACATCCAAAATTTCATCTTGCAGCCTCGAAGGCTGGGTTCAGCTAACTCAAGGTCAGCCATCATTTCATATCTTATACTTTAAAATATTTTATAAAGAATATTGCTCTACTTCGAACTACGTGGGTGACCCAGAAAGTAAAGACCGTCTCCTCACAGCGCATGCACCATTTCAAAGTTAAAGGGCTTCAGTAGCCTTTCAATAACACGCCACGTGAACGACAAGCTGATGTAGCATTTGCGGTAGTGCAGTTTGTTCAAGCACTACGCTACAAGTGGGAAGGTCGCGGGTTCGATTCAAAATCAGTTAATTGAATTTTTCAATTGACCTAATCCTTCCAGCCGCACTGTGGCCCTGGGGTTCACTCAGCCTCTAACAGAAATGAGTACCAGGAATTAATTAAATACTTTTCCTGGGTAGTAAAGGGCGGCCGGCGCGTAAGGCTGACAACCTTACCGCCATCTTTGAGCCGATTGTCTAGATAATGTGGGACCCTCAACGTCTCACAACCCTATGGGCCTTCACGGCCTGTTACAGGGACAGCTTTACTTTTCTTTACGAGTAAGAAATCAGGGAATCCCCCCGATTGTGAAGTGCGAGCTGTAATTCGATTTCTGAACGCACAAAATGTCGGTTCGACTGATATTTACCGCCAACCCACTGCAGTCTAATGAGTGAGTTTGCTGTAAGGTTTAACGGGGCCAGGACAAAGACGTTCATGACGAGGAGCCATCCGGGCACCCGGCCCTCATCACTGTGGGCTTGAGAAACCCACTTTCTTATCTTGTTCTCGCTAATGCTTCTTGACGTTAACAGAACATATACTCTGTTTAGTGTAACTAGCGACCCCTCCTTGCCTGATGACGTAAAAGCATCGTTTCTGAAACGTGTATCCAAGATATACCATAAATAATATAAAAGCCTAACATAATATTGTTATAAATATTATATTTTTGGACATTATCCATCGTCCTGTCTTTATCTAAAAATGGCGTCCTGTTTATTTTTTCAAAAGAGAAAGTTTCAGAAACTGGATTCTGTATCCCTGTCTCCGGAGATAGGGACTAGCTATATAGATTTGGCCCAACAGAGTATGTTTTACCTGAAGACGGAGACAGATTCAGTCTCCGAAACGTTGTTTTGAAAAATAAACAGGACGATGGATAATGTCCAAAAACATAACATTTGTGCTAATGCACCAACGTCACAAACTTTTGGATCTTCTTTACAATATTCGTATAATGAATAAACCATTAATTAGCACATGCATCGAGATATCGTTGTCCTGTACTTCCTTCCTGTCTCTTTCATGGCAAACAATACCACAGATTATAAAACCCCAATAAGACTACGTAGGATGTGAGGTTATCACAGCGTTGGTTATGTCTTCTGAGATATGACGTCATGTAGGCCGCCGGAGGAACATGTCTCCCTCCATCTTCCTTGTCTAGGCATAAGCCAAGCAAGAAAGAAGCGTGAAGCAGCAACACAACAGCCAAAACAGTGCACACACTGATGAGCTGATAGCTTTGCCTGCACGTTCAGGTGGGGCTACCTTCTCAGCTATTATTCATCGTCACATAGGCGAACTATTTGGATAATGAAATCAAAACGGACGGCATTGACTGGACATGCAGAAAATGAGGAGAAATGTGAAACACAATCATTATTTTTGTCAGAAATCCTGAAGGAAAGAGATCAGTTTGAGAGACCTATGAGTAGATTTACTTACTTACTTACTTACTTACTTACTTACTGACTGACTTACGGAGCTGAGCCCTTCTTGAGAAGCCGCTAATTCTGAAGCTACTCAACAATTTCCCAGCATTTTACGAAACCCGAAGGTTCATTACTGTGTTCACAAGAGCCCTCCACTGGTCCTATCCTAAGCCAGATCAATCCAATCAATACCATCCTATCCTATCTCTCTAAGATCCATTTAATTATGAGTAGCTAGAGGATAATATTAAAATAGGTTCAAAAATGGTAGTGTGAGTATGTGTTTTATTTAGCTGTCTCGCGACAGAGTCCAGTGGCTAGAAATTTTAAAATTCTAACGGGCATTCGGGTTTCACAAAAGGTGAGGGCGCGAGATTTCTTGCCGAAATGAGTGACCATCAGCTTTTCAAGAAGCAAATTCTCTGAACGGACCTGATAAACTGATTAGCGGAAGATCTAAGAACATTATCTAAATAAATATATTGGCACCTACATGAAAGTAATCCATTGTTGACCGTTAGGAGAAACATGCAGTCTCCTACGCGTAACACTCCACACGGGTTATCCTGACTTACGAAGTCTTTATAGGCGAGTTTCGAAATATTGTTTTAAAATACGTAATAACCGCCGCCTCCATATTTCTACCTGCCGTCATTCATGGCCACCTAATTAGGCTCTATATAATCTTTGTAGTTCAAAGAGCTGTTAAAGGTAAAAAAGGTAAAGTTGTCCCTGTGCTTAACTAATTAAACACTACGCTATGAACACGTATGGGGGAGTGGATGTGTAGATCCACGTTTTCTTGACCTCGGCACTAGTTGGAAGTGAGTGGTCAGCTTCACGCCCCCGCCGCTTTACACCCGGGGAAAGAGCCCCGGGTACCCACTGCATAGGAGGTTGAGTGAACCCCAGAGCCTGTCTGGAGGTCTTGACCCCTCCACTGTCCAGCCCGTAGGCAGTCGCTATACCGACTACGCTATCCCGGCTCCTCACGTCCAGCCCCTAGCCAGTCGCTGTACCGACTGCGCTATCCCGGCTCCTCACGTCCAGCCCGTAGCCAGTCGCTCACGTCCAGCCCCTAGCCAGTCGCTATACTGACTGAGCTATCCCGGCTCCTCACGTCCAGCCCGTAGCCAGTCGCTATACTGACTGCGCTATCCCGGCTCCTCACGTCCAG